TTTTGGAAAATGGGCGTGGCCACGCCCACTTATGGTTACATGTGCATATCTTGGTAACCGCTGCACCAATTTCTTCCAAACTTGGCACAGTTGTTAGCCTTGCTACAGCATAGAAAACTGGCCGAATTTTTTAAAATCGGACAATAACCACGCCCACATCCCATATAACGGTAATTTGGATAAATACGAAATCTTTGATAAATCAGTAAATATTAAAGCCAATTTATTCGAAATTGATGCTTGCATCAATTCTTTACCAAGAAATATGTTTATGATAAAATTTTGGAAAATGGGTGTGGCACCGCCCACTTATGATCACATATATGTATCTCGGTAACCGTTCTACCAATTTGTACCAAACTCGGTCTGGTTATTGTGCTTGCCACATAAAAGCAACACGTTGAAAATTATTGAAATCGGACTAAAATTTAGGACGCTTTTCATATAACGGTAAATTTCAGAAATACTTGAAACTTCAATATTTCGAAATTTAAGGACGCTAATTTACTCAAAATTGAGTAGCGGTAGCTTTCGGAAAGGCGAAAATCATATATTTAATACTTCCTCCGGGTATTTAATGTTCTGCTCCGCCCGAACTTAGACTTTCTTACTTGTTTAATTTTTTAGTGTTTTAAGTGAATTTCCATGTTTGATGTTTATATTGTCTGATACCTCAGAATATGTGTTACGCATATATATAGCATTTTCAGTTTAAATGAAACTTTTTTCAAATTAAACGAAATCTTTTTCAGGTCAATCGAAACCATTTGCAAATTAAATGAAACCTTTTTCAGATAAAGCGAAACCTTTTTCAAATTAAATGAAACCCTATTCAGATTCAATGAAACTTTATTCAAATTAAAAGAAACTTCCTTTTAAGAATGTTTCATTTGATTTGAAAAAAGTTTTATTTAATTTGAATAAAGTTTCATTGAATCTGAAAAAGGTTTCATTTAATTAGAAAAAGGTTTCGCTTTATCTGAAAAAGGTTTCATCTAATTTGAAAATGGTTTCGCTAAAGCTGAAAAAGGTTTCATTTAATTTGAAAAAGGTTTCACTTAATTTGAAAATGGTTTCATTTAAACTGAAAATGCTATATTTAAAAATCTGCGAAACCTGGATAAAAAATTGTGTCCCTCGGTTTCGCTTTCGGCGATTTATGCTTTTAAATTACTACAATTTATATATAGGGGCCCATGATTTTTGAGTCCTGGGCCCGAATTTTCTCTCGACGGCCTTGTATACAATAAATTACGACTAATGCAGATATTTTTTCGGAGCACATTATAATTAACCTTAATATGTAAGTACACATGTACTTATGATTTCCATATGTATATGAATAACGCACATTTTTCGTAATATTATATGATGGAAATATTTTCAATTAACTCCATAATAAGCTGTATAAAGTTACTGTTTTGTAAGTGGGAACTTTGTTGCAGAATGCATTCGCACATCATGTCAATTCTCGCGCTTGTGTGGTGGCACATACATTTGCCTTTCACCCCGAAAACGTTGCTGTCCACCTCCTCCTCTCTGATAGGCGCCACCTACTTGGATCTGTTGAGCTGAATGAATCTGGTTAATAGTATTGGATTTTCCTTGTTGGGGTTGTTGATATGAATTAGCTGTATTATAGTTATTTATAGGACAATGATTGCCATCAGTTATTGGCAGACAATCAGATTTCAAAACTTCTTCATGGTTACCGTATCCAAGGTAAAACACCACACATGTTTTCTCTGACACCGCTGTGACCTCAGCCTCGTAGTACTATAAGAAAAAAAAAAATAAACTATTAGTATGTACATGTGTTTGTTTGTATGTACATAAGTATGTACCAGAGAAGCAATTTCGAAATCATATCGTCGATAGTTTTGCAAAACCGCCTATCTAAAACTATGTTCACATATCAATATTACCTCAATCAAAGCTCGTTTTTTAATCACCCCGTTTACACAGGCAAATCTCAGATTATTAGCCGTCAAATTTGTTGTGCTTGTTATTCTCACATCTCAAGGAAAAGTTGTTTCTTCTCTGTGCCACCGTGATCACGTTTTTCTGCTATATTAAGCAATATAGATATATTTTAACTTAACATTTTATTAAAAAATACCTTTAAAACCCTCTTTTCCTTGCTAGCGTCCGTTTTTGTTTACTTTTACATTTGCCATTTCTGCTCTTCTTCGCAAAAACAATCGATAAAACTAGGCTGGATACCGAAAAGTTATCGGTTAAATCTGAGATTATTTTATAATTACAGATTAACAAGGGAGGAATTTTATATGGCTAATCTCTTTTTCTAATTACAGATTAGGAAGTTAAGCTCGAAAATGAGGATAATCTACTTATATGTGAACCTAGTATTACGGCACTCAAATTTTACAGGAGAGCGAAAAAACGGTTTATTCTTTGAAGGCATTGCCTTGATAGCCGGTATTTTCTCTACCTATTATTTTACAAATATGTTGTTGTAATAACGATTTAACGATTTTTATGCATAAATCTCGATGCCTGGAGTTCAGGGTTACCAAATCTCGTTTTTGCCACAACGGCGATTTAGGCGGTTTTGCAACTGGTCGACGGGTGGTTTTGCAAAAACATCGACGATATCCTTTGTTATACCCGAGCGCATTTGTGCATAAGGGTATTATAACTTTGTTCGCATATCATTTGCTTATAACAGCCAAAACGAGTCGAGGTAAATATAGACAAATGTATATATAATTACTTAGAATGAAAAAACAAGCCGATTAAGCCATGTCTGTCTGTCCGTCTGTCCGTCCGTCCGTCGTGAACAAATTTTGCTATGTCAACGAAATTTGGTATGTAAGTTGCCCTTTATCTAAGGTATATCCACGCCCGGCTCCAGTAAACGGCTTTTTCGAACAATAAAAATACTGTAATTTTTCCCCAGATACTGGATTGAAATTGTTGAAAGTTGGAATGTGAAAGAGAATTTTGGCATAAAATAAGGGTCGTTTTCTCCAGTTGGTTTTAATATTTATCTGCCCTTTAAACACAAATTTTGTTCTGAAAAAAATGTTTTTAAATGCCAGGTAAATTTTAAAACCTACATGAGAAAACGACACTAAGACAGTTATGAAATTTTTGGAAAATGGGAATGGCACCGCGCACTTATGATGAAATACTGTATCTCTACTGTCGCTTTACCAATCCCTAACAAACTCGGTTTTTGAAATAAGGCAAAAACTACGCCCACCTTTCATATAACGGTAGTTTACAGAAATACGAAAATTGCGATAAATTAGCAACTAAATACTTAAGCTAAAGCTGGATTTACATGAGGCGATTTTCTAGGCAATTCCACATTGCTCAAGAAGAATCGCTGGTGTAAATGATTATTAAAAAATCGCTTTTCTCAAAGTAGACAGCAGGTCAACTTTTGCAGGCGATTATAGCCTGTCAAAAAATCGTCTAATGTAAAGGCAGCTTAATTCACTCAAAATCGATATATGCAATGACGTCTTGGCAAAATTGATAATAAAAGAAAATCTGGAAAATAGGGGGGTATGCATATAAAGTTCGGTTTCACCCGAACTTATACTTCTTTACTTGTTAATTCATGAAATATTTACAAGTAGTTCAGTCCAGGTAGCTAAAAAAATAGGGGCAAGCTTACAATAATTAGAATAGAGCTGAAAATTCGTACAAATGTTGGGAACATCTTTATAAATAAAATGTCAAACGACCTCATCGATGCCACACCTCCAAAAAAAATTATTTAAGGTCAAAGGTCACATAAGGTTTATCATAAAAAAAGAAACATGTAGCTGTTGTTCCTAAGAATTACCATTTCTGAGATATAGTGATTGCAAATTTTAGTAAAAGGAGTTTTTTAAATTTGTATGTTTCATAAATTCGAATGGATCTTTAATTAAGTGCTCATAACTTCTACATTTATTTTCAATTTAGATACACAGGATCTTGTTGTATTTATAAAAGATTCTGCTTTGACGTCACAGAATCCAGAAGTTCTTTTTATTTTTATTTTTTTGTGATTACGCAAAATTGTCGATAAATCGATAATTAGCTCTTTAACTACTAATCTAGTTGAAAAATATCGTTTGGATAGATGATAGCAAATTCGATAAGAAATCTAAAAAAATGCAATTAAGTGAGCACACTTCTTCACATCTCAAAAACCAAAATTTGGCTATATGTATCACAAAAACTATTCTAATTTCTTATATTTTACTACATATTGAGATTCAGCTAAAATTTTTACATATGAAGTGATGGTGAAGTGCCACAGGTGGGATTTCTTCTCAATCAGTGTAATTATTAATTAGATAAATAGTTTTCTTTAACTAATTTTAATTCACACCGCTTTCATCACTAGACTGCGGATGTTTATGTAGAAAACGAAGCCTAAAAATATGTACCACATAATAGTAGGGGAGCCCAAGAGGGGATTCGGGGATTTACTCGAGCGCGTTAAATTAACATATCGTCGTTTAAAGTATAAAATCGCTTATCAACAAAACCGTATACAGATAATGCAAAACCGCGTATGTTGCATAAATTATTTTCTAGATAGTAAAAACGCTCATATTTCAAAATGGTTCTATTTTTTATAAAGCAATCGCATTTCTGGCCAGTATATTTCAGGGCGAATGGATAAGGAATGAGCTAAGAGCTTGGGTGAGCAAATCCAATTTTTGGCAGCAAATGTCAGTTACCCGGCTTTGCAGAATGACGATACGATAATTTGTACTTTAAACGACGATGTGGGAGATACCCTGCACCATGTTGAGTACCTCTGCCAAATCTAAGCCATCTGTGTGGAGCTGCGCGCATAGGGCAGCTGATCAGAATAGTAAAAAAAAATCGATAGGTGGATTTACTCGAGCGCGTCAGATTAAGGCCCAATTTCAGATGGCCTATTTAAGTAGAGATTGTTGATTAACTACCATTATTCATTTTCAGATCATACATTTAATCTGCACTTAAATAGCAAATATTGGCTATTTAAATATGAGATATGCAACCCTGTGTTTGTACCAAACAACCAAGATTGATTGGTAGGTTGTTTAATCAATCCCACCAAAAACAATCAGCTGTTCAGCACAAAATGTAAACAAACAAGCAAATGCAACAACAATTTCAAGGAACAAGCAGCAGCGCTGCCAATTGTTTGGCATATTTAAACAAAGTTGATCTGAAACCAAACGAAAGTTAAATGGTATTTAAACAACAATCGACAATTAAACTTAAGTGCCATTTAAATATTCATTTGAAATCGGCCCTAAGAAATGGTGGGTTAATTACACGCATTTCAATAATTTGACGATTTGAGCGCGTCGCAAAGGATTGCAAACTTGCAAAAAAAACGTTACCTTGACATTCTCGAGCGCGGTCAATTTTTTTTTATTATGAAGCAAACAGCTCAACGATAAAGGGACGAATTTTTATGCAAAATTAAAAAAATAACAATTATTTTTGATTTTTTTATTATAAATCCAAAATAACAATTATTTTTGATTTTTATATTATGTCTTAGATAACAGTTATTGAAGACTTTTATTTATAAAAGTCATTAGCAGCGCCGAAGAAAATACGCAAGAAAAAATCCATTTTTAACGCTTAGATAAGCACTAAATAAAACATTGGTAAATATACTCGCAAAATAACAAAATTTAGTGTATAGGTTAATGTTTTTTTTTTATTTAGTTTATTTCAAGGATTGAAAAATAACAATGGACAGTCAAGTGTTGCTTGATATTTTCAAATAATAGAGATCTGCGCTGGTCGTTTTAATTTTTTAAATATTCGTTATTCTTCACTTGAGATAAACTGTTTTTAATCTCTTCAGTAACCTAATGCCCTCCCGTAGAGTAAAACTATTGGTTTAAAATTTTTGTACCCAAGCAGAAATGCAATTGAAGTTACGGGTTGATAAAAACCAAATCCGTTTTTAAGCGACTTCACTAAAGAGTAAAGGTTATCAGTTCGTCGGAATATTTTGTATTTTTTTATGTATGTTACCGCATAACTTTGGACCACGTTAACCGATTTCTATAATTCTTTTTTTAAAACAGGTGGTCCCATACTAATTTGGTTTAAATCCGATCATTTGGTCATGAAGAAATTAACGATAATCTTAGATTTTTATATGAGAATTGAAGTCGGTTTGGTTTTTTGCTTAAAAATTACTTCTTATGTTATTATTTGCAAACATTTTTTTAGTTCGATGAATAAAAAAAAATTTACGCCAAAGAAATGGTCAAGAAAAATTTATTGAGCCAAATTTTCTTAAGCAGTACGAAGTTCTTAAGAAATTTATACGGAAGGAAAAAGTGATACAGCAGGCTGTAAAATATCAGATTTCAAAACTCCTTGGAGACTACTATTGACACACACGAAATATTTATTTCTTGACCGTTTTCTTAAAAGGTCCGTACTTAGCNCTTAAGAAATTTATACGGAAGGAAAAAGTGATACAGCAGGCTGTAAAATATCAGATTTCAAAACTCCTTGGAGACTACTATTGACACACACGAAATATTTATTTCTTGACCGTTTTCTTAAAAGGTCCGTACTTCTATACATTGAAATAACCAAATAAGCATGATCGTTAAAATTAAGCTTGGAAACCCTGAATAAGCAAAATAAGAAATTTTAAGCAAAAGCTTAAACCTCTCGGCCCTGGTCATAAATAAAGATTAGTCAGTGACTTTTGCTTTTAAAAGTCATTAATATAAATCAGTCACCCACTTTTATTTTTTAAATCATTCGTATAAAAGTCATTA